ATATTGATGCCTCTTGATATACGAGAATAAGTATATAGTTTGATATTCTATATGATGTCATCATATTAACTGTTAGTATCTTGTAACGCCATTAGGAAACACACAGAAATCTTCACTAACGAGTAAACTTCTCAAATGAGAGAAATTCAACATTCTTACTCCGAAACTCGACAATATCGCAGACCTCTATGGATGTACAAGTACGTACACTACTTGATGCTACTCGTTATTTGAGATGAGAGCACGATCGATGCATCTAATACCCCGTCCACAAACATCCGCACGCGGACCATCGCTGACCATACGCGACGCTGAAATGTAACAAGCGTCGCCCGGCAAACGTGAACACACGGCGAGAAAATCCGCAACAAATTAACACACTCTTGAAAAAAAACCGTCGCTCTCAACAGGGACTGTTACGAACATACCAACTGCGCTTTTCACGGGCGCAACCCGCACGGACCATGCTCCGCGCTAACTGGAGCGATCGTATGGAGATCTATGGGCTGTGGCACGGCGAATATCTACATTAGAGGCAGAGGGTCTCCAGAGCGTACTCTCACCAACGAGAAGCGCATAACAGGGGTTCTTACCCAACGCGTCTTCTACGTTATGGCGACGCACGGCGACATTATCGGCGTTATCTAGCCAACGTGTCTCTGCACGGCGAACTAATATAGCCTTGGTCAGATTTTCGGAAATTTAAACTGTAAGTTGTTGTGCGTTTGCTGAAGTAAATACACGATGCGAGAGCAACAAGCTACCCTAGAGGCGGGCCGAGGGGCGCGGTGCCCGAGACACGATCGGTCACTGAAAGAGCATCCAGGGCAGAATCGTGATGAGGACATGATACCATGGAATTCGCCGTTGAAGAATGTTACCCATTTTGGCAGCGTGACTTATTGCTCACGCGTGTAAGTCGGCGTGGTACTTAACGTGTTATGTGAGCATGTTAGACGAACTGGTATCACGGACCATTAACGGCGACGCCACCCGAAAAGAATTGCTTTCGATATAAACTGCGACCGATTCAAGACAGTAGATCGCCCCGAACTGCGTTTGTTAGAACATGCTCAATAACCAACGAGCCGTGACTCGGCGTCCTTGACGACATGGGGCGCCACAGAGTACTAATCATATTAGATGCGCAACCAGTATATGAGTAGATCCAACGGAAATGTCTGGCTTTCCAAACCACACGCCTTAACCTGCTCACATGAACCTTATGGCGAACTCGATTGGCGTGCGCTCAAAGGGCCCATTTTTACGCGGTCGCGTAAAGCAAGGCAAAGTTAAGGAATACGCAACAATCAGCCGCGACCTGCCCGGTGTGAGGGGTATATACATATTAACCATCTCAATAAAGTGGGTAACGGGGCATCAGAGTGCCTCGATTTACTGCATATAAGTAATAACTCTTCCTGATCCCTCGCCCATACTCCAACCATTCTACTTGATAACTCTCAAGGTTTAGAAAAATTTACTCGAATTATTCATTTCAACTTTATTGATGCCTAACAACTATTGCCAGCCGTGTCCATCTTATTTCCATATAACGTATATTGAATTGTTCAGAGCGTTTTGCTTGCCCGCGTCCTGCGTGTGAAGTAAGACTCTGACGTCATTATGAAGTCAGAGACATAATACAACGTACGATATTAACTAAGCGAGTAGCATTCACGTCAACCTATCGCTCTAGTACGATAGCCGCGAATCATTGGCGCCTGCAGGGCTATGAACACTTGTCGCTGGGAATACAATACTGCAACTGTCCCCTACCTTGTCCCGACAGAAAAATGATTCGCTGAAAAACGCAAATTATACTTTGGGTTTTTTACACTATCTATCTAAGGGACATCGTCACTATCTTTTTGAGAGAGACACTATAATAACGACCTAACTTTACACCATGTATTTATGCCTTTTAATCCACAAAGTAAGCACTACTGGAAATCCCGTTTGAAATTCTGACGCGTGCGAACGCGTGAACGATCACGATTGTGCAAACCGGAATTAACCCAGTAGTTTCTTACTTTGTGGATAAAAGATGAATAGCATGTGTAACAGTATATGTGCTAAGGGGAATGTGTTTCAAGACAAGATGGTAGATGTCCACGTCGATAAGATAGATGTAAGACATACCAACAATTTTGGCGTTTTGATCCTTTTCGGTGGGACCAGGTGGGAAGGTTGCAGTGTATTGTCCAGCCGACAAATGTCTATAGCCTGCCGCAGTCATAGTACGGCTTTACATCAGGGTAAGATAATATAGATATATATCCTGATAGTATGTGATTTAGTCCCTCCTGATTACATTATTCAATGTCATATGTCACACTCCCTGCATAACCCTGAACAATCAAGTATCCACGAGCCCCGCAACACACTTACTTGTAGTGGGAATTGTTGACATATTACTCTTGTACGGTCATGATGAGAGCGGAGTTCGCGATGCGTGAAGCGGATCTTTCTCAAGCGATGGTAACCTCGCGGTCAGTAATCTTCTTCAGAGGTTTCATCAGTCATGGAAAGTTTACCAATTGTGCTGATCAAGTTACTCAATGATATGTGCCAGTAAATCTAACAATAGATACTAGTCACACTACGTTTACGCCTTGCAACCAGGCGGTCACTCATTGTAACATAGAAACTCTGAGTTTCTCTGTTTCGAGTTCTGAATATGTAGCCGATGTATATACAAGATATTTCTCTGGCGACTTACAAATTCGATTGAATTAATTTTAATGTTAATGGAGTTAACATCTGGTAATAGAAGGTCGCGTCAGGGATGTTATTTGAGCTGCAAGTAATTTATAGTTATGCTCCTTTATCGCCTAGAATTATTAAATCTACACACGAATTAATTTAAGCAAGCTTTTTCCATTTCATCGTAAATAGAGAATTAAAAAAAACCCTGACCACTATTTGGTCGACTAGCTGATTAAAAAACATATGACAAAAAAAATTGTGTTCACTCTTTACTGTAGTTGAGAAATACAAAATAGATTTTACATAAAAAATTCAAAAATTGGTGTAACATTAGGTTGCTGGGAATTTCATAGAAATTTTTGCTTGAGCATCGAGATATATACCATACCTCGTATAAATAAACAAAGTGATAAATTATTTTATTCATTCGCACAATAAACGTTTAAAATCCTTCACCTGCGCAATACCGCGGCAAAAGGTGGGGTATCTTAAGTTCATGCAAACTATTGAATGCAACGTGTTTATGTCCATCATTCAGATATACATGTAATAAACACGCGCACGAACGGCTAGCAGCAGCGACCGAACGCACGCAAACGCCAGCTGTGGCTGATCCACCGGGCTCGATTCTCTTCATCGACGCAGCACTGGCACGCAGCGATATATTATAATATAATATATATATATACTAATAATAATATAACGAGAGAAATGAAGAGACGAGAGACGAGAAGAGAAACGAGAAGAGAGAGAGGCGGAGAAGAGAGAGAGAGATAGACCGAGAGGGAGAGGGGTGAGAAGGCGAGAGAGAGAGGGAAGAAAGCGAGTGTGTGTGCGCCATGCGCTGTGTGCGGAAGTGTCATAAACTGTACGCTGTGCCAGTAGGACAGACAGACTTACAGTACTAAAGTAGTAATAATAGACTAAAGTGAAACTCAAAGAGTGTATTCGCTTGCGAGCGTGTAACATGTATGATTGTATCACAGCTGCTAGCGCTGCTGCTCTGACGGTACGTCACGAACAGCAGGTTATAAACGGCCAATCTAACTGCTATGCAATTACCACTCTATCGGGAAGCCCACGCTCAACGTCATATAAATTCAGGCTTGAACGGCATCCACACAGGACTAAACAGGCGCGCTGGTCTGAAAATGAAAATCGCGGCACAAATGCGTGTAAACTGTAACGTGGAATCAAAGCTGGCTACGCTGCTAGTGGCTAACCAACACCGACAGGGCGCGCGCGGTAAAATACTGCCAAGCTATAAGTAGCAGGACTGGGGCTACCAAACGAAACACTAACAATTTCAAACACGCAAAATCGGAAACAGAGCGTGTACTCAACTGACCCCGCGCACCTTGCAATCCGTTGCGAAGGAAGGTAACTAACAAACTTCAGATATAATATACCGGGTTAAAGTCGTAAAGACTAGTTTTATCCAAATATATTGATGAATTTGCCCAAGAGAAGATAGAATGCAAACCGCAACGCGATGGATGCGACAGCGATACATGCGACGCCGCAGTTTTGCAAACTCAGATTCGTAGGGGACCAAACTAACGGCGCACAGAACATAAGCTCTCTACTCAAGCACTTGTTATCACCAGTAATTACAATAGCTAAATCGACAAAGATACACATGTAAATATAATAATTATATCGCGTAACGATACAAGTATACACATGTAACAGATTAAATGACGTGTCATATAGATAACAGTTGTACAACGAAATACTGGTTTATAGCACCTGTAACGATACCCTTATAAACTCGTCCACACTATACATACAGTAGTAGTACGTGTGTGTAAATGAGTGGGAGACTGTGTAACAATACTGACTATGACGACTTACAGACATACACAGATAAACCGGTACTAAAGCGGTTATGAACATCTGTATAAAGTTGACAGGTTATTACGAAAGGTAATCCGATTACAGATACAGCAGTTTAAACACATAACAGATAATAAAACTTGTAAAGGATACGGCGGTACTGATACAGATCATCTTAACAGGATACATCGAACAGTATACATTGTACTATACATTGAAACAGATACATTTGTTATAGATCATCTTGAACAGATACATCGTTACAGATCATTGTAACAATACTATATGTAACAGAATACATCTTGTAAACATATACATCTGTAAAGATACTTGAACTTTGAAGATACAGATACAGAAACTGTGAATCCTAACAAGATATTATGATTACTGTATTTGAGAATAATATTTTAATATATTAACGCCTGCACGAATATAAAAAACCATACAATGATAAAGTTCCACCTGTATGTGCCTATATAGCTTTAACACAAGAAGTAAACCTGCTTCCTGCCTGAATTGTACAAAGAACGAGGTATACTCCAAAGAATATTAATATTTGATTACACAAGCCATCTGTAATCCAAGATTGACGAGGGAATAGCATGAAATAAATAGCACCATGACTTATCTGATCAGTAAACTGTTATTTCATTGCGAGAAGAGTAACATAGAATACATAGTCGCATTCTACACATTCTAATCCCTTCCTCAAACTGCGTTGGAACATTTTGGCAAGTCTTGTTCAGCTACTTTGTGGCTGGCTCCTCCTCGTTGCTTCTGCTGCTACTGCGACTGCTGTTGGCACTTGCCTCCGCCGTGCCCGCTACCCTTGACCTTTGTCCCGGGGTGTAGCGTGGCATATCAGGCCTGTCCTGTACACAGCAGAGAAAATTACTGGTCAAAAGCAATCCCAATTAATTGTCATGCGTTTTTAGCCACATTATGCTCACATAAAGGACGAGGACAGGTGGGCACTAGTACGTGAAAGTCGTTGTTATACCAAATACATTCTTCAGCAAATCAGACTTTGCGCTTGAAATCACTCGTAACGAGAACTGCGGCTTACCTTGTTTCTGATTCTTCGTTTGTCGCGTTCGCTGACTTCCGCCGCCCTCTTAGGTCTATCCGTGGATTGTGTTTCGCCCGAGCCACCATCCCTTTGTGTTGTATCAGCTGCATCCGTTGTCTTCGCTGCAGATTTCAGTCGCCGATCACTGACCTTCGTGTCATCCGCTGTCTGTTTGCTACCCACTGACGAATCACTCGTACGATTGTCTCCTGTCTTACTTCTTGCTTTCTCGCCTTTTGTATTGGCATCAATGACAGAATCTTCCGAGTAATGTTTGCTGGGAGGGGAATGCATTCTAGAGCTTCCAACCTTTGCTGCAGTGCTTCTTTTCTCATCCGGGTCCCTTCCATCTCTGTCACGGTCTCTAGTATTTTCACTTTCGCTTCTAGCTTTTTCGCTCTCTCTTGGCTTATCTTTGGCTAGATTTCTGTCTTTTGTCCTATCTTTGTATTTCTCTCGGTCCTTGGTGGAGTCATCGCGCCCTGTCATTCTGGTCCTATCCTTGTCTTTGTTTCTGTAGCTGTAGCTGTCCCTGTCTCTGTCCCTGTCTCTATCCCGATCCTGGTTTCTGTCCCTGGGGTTATCCCTGTCTCGCATTCTCTCACTGAATCTATCCTCACGCTTGTATTTACTACGATCCTCATTGCGATCTCTCATCCTAGAAGAAGTTTCCTTTCTCTCGGAATATCGGTCCTAATGGGAGATAACGCAATAACTGCGTAGTGAGTGTCACAATTTTACATTATTGAAAAGGGATATTTTACCATCGACATTATCGAAATCAGTGTCGAAAATTTTAATGAAGATATGTACTGATGTTAATAGTGAGTCACGATGGGACACTATACTTCAATACGATTAGAGGTTGCCGCTGTGGTGATGTTATTTTTTGCTCTCATAGCATGGTTATTCGATTCACTTAATTCACGTTCAGGACCAAGTAGTACAGAAACCACGATCATTGCCTGCACATCGTCATACCTTGCCAATTTTAGACTCGCTGTCGCTTCGACCATCCCTACTAGCATTGCTGTCTTTCCTCGCCCGTCTGTCATCATCACTGGGTCTTGGTCGCACCTTCTTGTCACTTCCTCTATCCTTGGCAGTGTCCCTCTCCGGATAATCTCCTCGTGTAGTATTCCGTAGCAGCTATAATAGTATATTCAGAAAGTCATATTCAGAAGTATATTCGGAAGTATATTCAGAAACTAAAGTGCATCATAAGATTACAGTATGCGTGACTTCCCGTATAAGAGAATAACTACGCACAGCTCATTGCATAAATGCATATCAAAATAAATATACATGTATACTTTATAACTCACTGAAGATGACACTGCTTAGAAAGAAATTGTGCAAGAACATTTTCAATTACTCTTGCTAATTGCCATGTGCATTGTGAATAAATATCTAACCTAGCAGTTTCTATGAACCTGAAAGAATTTTAATCAAATATGACACCCCACTAAATAGTATATAGAAAATAATCTATCTTAGTTGAATCAGTGAAAAGCAAGAAATCCCATGACTTTTCACACCTTTACTTGTACTTGCTGCTCTCTGTCTTTAGTTTGCTCTTCATCTGCTGCCTTCTCCTTAACACGTTCTTTCCTCTTCTCCTTTTCTTTCTCCCGCTGACGTTCACGCTCCTTCTCTATGCGCTTACGTCTGCGTTCTTCCTCACGCTGTCTGCGTCGCTCTATCTCTCGTCTGCGACGCTCTTCCCTTCTCTCCTCTCGGACTTTCTAAAACAATGCGGTCAGTTCCAATTATAGAACGGTGCTAGTATAAAGTATAGTGGCATTTCTTTAGACTCTGCAACATATACAATTAAAATTGGTTCCTAAATCAAGAAACTATTAGCCATCTTCTAGAACGTAATATTCCTCGCCAGCATTGCAACTCTGTATAGTAAATTTTTCAAGGCTATTTTAAGGTGCCACATTGTCACGTTTCACATAAAGTGTGTTTGTATTCTAACACAGCACCTGAAAATTAACATAAAACAATCAGCTCTCTCTATCTGAGCAAGACAAGAACCTTTGCATTTTACAAACTTCAACGTAAATCTCTACGTAAATTAGATTGTGAAAATGACTCGATGATGAGTCGGATTATGTGGTGGGCACTGTTGGCCAGGCATTGCATTATAACACATTATAAAGACCATAAACATAGAAAGTAATATAATTTTGAGATAAATCGAGCATATTTAGTGAAGAGACTGTTTTAAGATCTAATTGGCTGATAAAATGAACTCTGATGACATTATTCCAACATGGCTAACATTTAGTAAACTCGTCATATTATCACATATGCGTATATTATTATGAGAGCATGAGCATATATCTACAGACAATATATATATAGAATATATAATACAGTTTACAAATATGTTCATGATGAGATGTGTACCTGCTTTTCCAATTTCTTCTGCTTTATGTACTCAATCAATGGTGTTGTGACCCTGCATCCATCTACAAACAAACCACAGATGTACATACGTAACCAGTAACTTATTATGGACAAACTGTGACTGCATAATTGTAATATGTATGGCCATTTACTTCTGATATATGCACAGCACCAGTGGCATGCATTTCTACAGGCAAGGTTTGAGAAGATTAAAGCAAACAATATCTCTGTAGTTTGTAGCTAATGATTATTAGAGCAGTATGACTACAGTATTAATTGTCATTATTCGATTGAAGGAAACTCCACAGTGAACAACTATGCAATCTATATATGGAATAGTATAGTGCACTGTGGATATTCCTAGGATATTCTTGTTCCAATTGAGTCAATAGATTACAAGAAAAACCATATTTAAAGGAGTTTCCAACAGCACATATTAAAATAAGAGACATTTTCTGCTAAATTATTACAAACAGAATGACGCAACACAGTGAGGTGATTAAAATATGCATTCATCTTAGATCGACAATGAACTAGCTTGGCTAGCTCCCCACTCACACCCATCCGCTGTGATATCACACACCCATCTAATAGTTTACCTCTGCTTTTATCCCGTTTCTCCATCTCTTCTAGGTACTGCTCTACCGTCCGTACTGTCACTTCTGGTGGGTTCAGCAGTTCATCCAGAAATTTCTTATAATCAGCATCTATAATAAAACAGTAGTAAACATCCATGATCAAATTGGCTGTGTTGGTGAACAACGTGAACAAAATATTATTTATCAAGCTGCCTTTTATCAGTGCAATTACTTTAACGATATGCATTCAGCTTATCTAGACAGATTCAGCAAGTTATACAAAGATAATAGGGTGCACAACCTAAACTATTTTGGTGAAACTGAGGTATTCATTAGATTACTACTGCCCTATGTCTCATCCCTACCATCTTCAATTGTTCCAATCTTTGTGTCTTTCTTCTTAACTTTATTCTTTGGAATTTTTTGAAATAGAGCAAACTCCACAACTGCCGGATACTCATTTCCTGAAAAACCGAGCATGCTTATTTATGTTTTCGATTTCTAATCCCTGATCTAACACCTAAAACCATAGCAGCACTGGGGCTTGAGATGTGTTAGGATCGTGTATATCTTTGTAGTGTAAAATTGCTATTGAGTGCTAGGCATTTAAATTCAGTAATCCTGTAATGCAATTAAAACCAGTAGTCTTACCCATGTGCAGTAAACATTCACAATGCATAATTTCACCAGTAAATCAAATGTATATGGTGACTGTATCTCATCACTTTACATTACACAGAGCTACTAGCAAGAAACACGTACCCTTTGAGTCAACGAATATGTAGTTATCAAACTTCTCTTTAAATACGATGACATCATCTGCATGGACAAAGTTGATGTATCCTCGGGAGAATGCATAGTGGCAAAGACTGAAACAATATCAAAGTATATGCACTCCATGATACCCATACAACGCTTATCAATATTTGCTAACCAGCCATTGCTAACATTGCTATATAAGTAAGAAGTTCAAACAATCTTATCTTGACATGATACACAAGAAATAGGTGACAGAGAAACCCCAATCTAGCATTATTTTCGATATGAATTAGTTCGATATTAAACATATCTTCACTACATCTATTCTAGAAACGCATTTTGTATTCACTTCTCCTAATAGGTGTCAGGTTTGATGTAATTGCATGTTTTTCTCTTCTTGATCCATGAAAACCTGTGTTTCTAGTCTAGTTTGTACCGAATTCTATAATTTTTAACCATTTCACAATGATAACCATGTGTAGCATAATGTTATAGCTGAGCTCTGGTTCACCACAATATGTGTCACAGCCAGCCACACCTAATTTGAAGGATAAGTGAGTTTCCCTCACTCTAATGGAACTATTATTGCTTCAAATGATGTTAAAATGCCAGTTTTAGCTGAAATAGCTTCAGGTAAATAAGATAATGCTAAAAAATGTTTTTAATGTAATTTTTGGAAATATGCACATACATAGATATCAAGAGTACATAATAGGAGAAGAGTATGACACCGTTTTAACAGCGTTTTGCATAGTTTTTAACTTGTAAATATTCTATCAATATGTGAATAAATATATTCAAACTTTACCTTATTTTCATCTATGAGTTTCCCTTGATCATAATATTTTATGACACCACCAATTTACCTGAAAATCGTATGTGTTCTTCCAAAAAGTTTTTTTAATACGACACGGTTTCAAACAGTTTCCACGAATGGCAGCATGTGTTAGGCGAAAGTTTAGTATGGGATTAGTGTTCTATTGTCTCTATCTTGTATCTTGATTACAACCTGGTGCTGCCGCCGCATATCAACTTTGGTCGAACTTTCGCCAAACACATGCTGCCATTCATGGAAACTGTTTGAAACCGTGTCGTATTCAAAGACCTTTTTTGAAGAACACATACGATTTTCAGGTAAATTGGTGGTGTCATATGATTAAGGGAGAATCATAGACGAAAATAAGGTAAAGTTTGAATATATTTATTCACATATTGATAGAATATTTACAAGTTGAAAACTATGCAAAACGCTGTTAAAACGGTGTCATACTCTTCTCCTATTATGTACTCTTGATAGATATACTTCAGATATACATAATAACTAAATTTATTTCTGATAAAAATACCATTATATTTTATTGTGCATTAAAAAATGGTATTACCAAATACCAACTTGCATCAATGAATTATTTGTCAGGTTAGAACCATCAACGTACAAATAAATTTATACAAACATTGATGAATGGTTTTCAAGGAAACATACATGCATCCGAAGCACCCACCTTAAGTCACCTTTAACAAAATATATGTAGTCATTTTCTGGTAAAGGAGAGATTTGTTCAAGGAATTCCTCTCCAGTCATTGTTGGTGGGAGTCTTCGTATCACAACCTAAAACAACAATAAAACTCACTAGCAAACCTCATAGCTCGTGCAGAAATTCAGACTTACAGTGTCAAGGAACTCTTAAAGCCGCAATATGCGCATCCAAACGCTAATTTCTCCAGTACTAGACTAGCAAATACTTCGTGTCATGCATAATCACACTACCTTATGACAATATACTTCGTGTCATGCATAATCACACTACCTTATGACAAAATAAACTCTAGTTCCTCCCATTTCACTGCGCGTTTGCTTAAAACCCACAAGAAAGAGGTGCAAAATCTGGCAATCTGGCGCCAACGCAGAATTTTTGCCAAACAATTTAGCCCCGAATCGGTTAGTTGACGTCACATGTTGCTACGGGTTGCACCCGCTGTACGGTTGCTTGGCAGAGCAACGCAAACGTGTCAACAACATCGGAGAATTTGAACAACATTGGAGGTATTTTCAAATACCTTTTATAAGACAACGTGCAGTGAAATGGGAGAAACTAGAGTTTATTTTGTCATAAGGTAGTATGATTATGCATGACACGAAGTATTTGCTAGTCTAGTACTGGAGAAATTAGTGTTTGGATGCGCATATTGCGGCTTTAAGAATTATAAAATTAGGACTTCTATCATTTCATCAGATAGGCCAGTCGTTTAGTTACAAATGTTACAATTTGACTAATTATATAACAAAGATAATTGACAGTTGACAAATGGTCTGCCCACTAGCACTGCAATTTGAGGAATCTTTCGTCCATAGATGGGCATATTGCTGTGCCAATAACACACGCAAAGGGAAACAATACTGTGGGTTTAGTGCATGTTTTTAGTTAAAGCTGCTTTCCCCTATAATCCAGCAACGCATCTCATCAAGGGCAAATGGCATCTTCATGCAACCGCATCAACAAACAAAGGTTCAATAGTTGTATATATATATCTGAATAATGCAGCCACATTCGTTGTGACAATTCCCTTGAAATCGGTGACAAAACTTTATCTTGCAGATCGAGGTTCTAGATTGGTAAAGCAACTCTATTACATAATACAAATTACTTTTAACAAAGTGTAGGGAAGAGTCTTAAGAGAATCAAGGGGTGTAATCATGTAACTGCATTCTTGTCAACAACACAAAGTCAACAAATGTTTTTTATCGTTTCACTTTGTTGAAAGCAACGATGTATGTACGAGTGTAATTATAACTTATAAGACATGTTAGCCTTACTGTAGATACTTGCTGTTACGTAAGCAATACCAGCAAGTATTGTCATGTTTTTTTTGTAAATTTATTTGTCTAGACGGACATGTGGCCCGGTTATTGCGCGCAGCGTACAGCTCGCGGCGAAGCCGCGCCCCAACAGCGAATACGCCGCCCCCTTTTTGTCCACTTAGACAGATACCTTAGACAGGGGTCTGAAAACGAACTCCGCGAAAACTGGGCGCAATCCAACCGACATTTCACGATGGACGGCTTGAGGCTATCTCCAAACGGCCCCTAAACTTTTTGGGGGGTGGCGCGTCTCATGGCTAAGACGTAGTGGCTCCTACAAGAAACCCCAAGAAATGCTGTCAATCAGCGATGACGCGCTCGCTCATTGGCCGCTACGCGATGACATGCGCTACTGCCGAGTATAGCGTTATGTCTATCACAGAGCTTTTAACGAAGTGTCGTACGGCGCTCCACGTGGGGGGGCGCGGTCTAGATGCTATCTCCAAAAGCGGCGCCGCCACGCTGTGTACATGCCACGTTTCGACCAACCTCCTGACCCCGCGCTGCCCGTGGCGACGGCACGTCGTGCGAGCACCTGCGCTGGCGTGGCTGGCGTGGCAAACCACAGCAGCACCAAATACTGGGCCCTGCTAGCTGCTGCAGCGCGGCTCTGGAGCAGCAAAGCAGCAGCAGCAGGAAATGCCCTCCCCCCCCAAGGCCGCCGTAGTCAAGCCGGTGTACGTCTGACGAAAACTGCGCGATGTTACGCTTCCCGCTATACGGATTCGCGCGCCCGCCCTCCTTCGGTGCGCGAATTCGTATAGCGGGCAGCGCGAGATGCTACATACAACACCCTGTGGTCGCGTGCACCCAGTCCCGCGGAAGTGCGCGGCTTAACCGCTCTCGGCGGCCGGGGAATAACGCATCTTTTGCGCAACGCCATCTTGTACGCGGTCTCTCTGGATGTTTCACGGACACTAAATTCTAATCTATTGACCAGCAGTGTTTCACGAGGTATACATCAACAGCCATGACTGTTGTTGTTGCAATGCCAATGCCGAAATACCAATGCAAATTGCAATGGCAATGGTAGTACCCGGCTTGCCTTTGTGGGTTGCATGTCTTTGTCTTTCCGCTCCCATTTGGTATTTTGCTTGTCATCTTTGTTGTTATCAGATGTATTTTTTGATAACTGACCTTGATCCTGCGTCATCTTCCGAAACAAATTAAACACAAACTGTGAAAAAGTTCCGATTAAATCGCGGATAACTACGCAGCGCCATCTATAAAAGTGAACAGTCTTATATTTCTGATTGAGGAGGTCATTTGTTAGGTGGCCTGTGCTGTTCATCCCCACAGTCTTCCTGCAGTAACATCGGCAGATTTAGTTTCTGCTAACACCATGTGGTATGAAATCTTGCCTAGTTTTGGTATAATGGTTGGCGTTTTAGCCGTGCCAAATTGTGCTAGCTGGGTCGTCAACAAACTCTTTATTGGAAAGGTAAGTGATGTCGCGTCTCAGACTAGTCTAAGTAAGTCCACAGGCACTTGAAGCCACAGGCACTTGGAACGTCTCAATAAAAAAAATTAATGGTAAATAAACACGAAATGTACCAAAGTCTTAATGTTACTCTACTATATTTCGCATATAATCACTTGTTAAATGCCGGTCAAATGCTCATCTGCAACACACAAGTACACCGCACGCCCGCCCTTTGCTGCGTTACAGTGCGTACACAAACAACATGAATAAGAGAGCAGGTAGGAAAGCGTGATCGCAAAATTCGCTCGACGCTCGCTTCAGCCTTCATTTCACACGATCACAGAACGAAAACACATCCAACAGCTCCCATCTTGGTATCTATGTGTGGTGTTGTCAATCGGTTGTAATTTCGTAATCGATCATCGGTTGGACCCAAGTAACGCTGAGAGGGTCTATGTCCCCCGGGGTACTGCCGGAAGGTACCCTGGTACTATCTAATATGCCGGACCGTACCTCGCCTACTCCACTAACGGGTCTAGGGAGTCGCCTATGCCTACTCCCTAACCCTAACCCTATCCATAACCCTAGACAGAATAATTCTGTCCCATATCACCTTTTTTATATTTTGGTGTTGGTTATTGGGACGGAATGGGGCTCATTGAAATTTCGTGAGATCGCATGCAAAATGCATGCAGCTGCGAATGCGGCCCATACGCCACTATTGGCGCGAAAAAAACCCTACCGTTCCCTTCTACATGACTTTACCTTGCTACAGATATGTGTATACATTCACTTCAATCGTTATTCACTTCTTAAAAGATTGTTTTTCAGAAACCCGCTTCATTCCACTTTCGTAAATAACATTCGCCATTTACAAACAATCAGACCAATCAGAGCGAGTCTATCAGCCCTCCTGCAGCGCCACAGATACAAGCGAGAACCAGGCTATTGTAACACTCGCTCTGATTGATCTGAATGTTTGAAAATGGTGAATGTTATTTACGAAAGTGGAATGAAGCGGGTTTCTGAAAAACAATCTTTTAAGAAGTGAATAATGATTAGTGATGGGAATCGGCTGGAATTTCATAATCGATTATCGGTTTCCCTTAACCGATCGATAATCGATTATAATCGGATAATCGGTTAATAATAGCATAGATTTAATTTAATCTTACTTTGTATATACAATTATACATAGCATTCAATATTATCATGTTTTATGATCATGTATTAACTCTGTGAAGGTGTATGTATATCAATGTCTGTTCCTATACAGTATTTAATCAATTTAAAAAGAAATGGTTTAAATGCCTTTATTAAAACATTAAAAAATTTAAAC